AGCAATAACTGGGGGAGGTGTATTCAAATGGTTCACTAAGGTGATGGGTTTGTCAATTCTCCTACGTATTTCTACCAATTTTTGGTATGTGATCTGAGGCTGCTCCATTAACAACATAGAAATATAGACTTGTTATACTTTTGTGGTGGATGTCTTACTTCTAATTAGACTTTTTGTATTAAAAAAAACCTTTTGTCAATATTAAAATAATTCCCTTAGCTTCTTTAGGTTAGTATTCTCCTGGTATATATATATTCTTTCCATTCTTTTAATTGTTCATTATTCCTGTATTTTTGTGTAGCTCTGGTATGTAGCCTATTGTTCTAATTGACTTTTGAGCCCACCTTAATAATCTCTATCACTTAACCAATATTTTGTCTGTTTTCTTCCTGTACTTGGGCTTTCTGCATCTTTTAGTTCTTTTTGCCCCATCTTCAGATGCTTATTTTTTTGCCTTTGGACAATATGAGTTAGTTTCCTACTTTTTGTTTTTAAATTCTTATTTCCAATTTTCCCTCCACTATTTAGGACGTTATTTATTCCACTTCTTGGAATGAGTATCCTTGAAACTGTATAGTGCATACTTAATTTAAGAACTTAATAGTGCACACTTAATATCCAAGGTTAACCAACATCTTCTAGCTTGTGCTGAACAATTGGTGAATGCTAAAACACTTAAATTCTGAACACCCTACCCTGACTTACGTGATATTTCTGTTCTCTAATAGTTTATCCAAAATATAGTTTCATTGTAGTAGAGGGCCTCTTAGAATATCTCCTCAGAGGTAAAGAAGGAAGCAGAGATCTTCTGCCTGTGTTTCAAGGATCCAGTTTTCTGTTTTAGTATTGATGTTTCCTGGCTCAAGGTTAGCTCGCTGGGTACTTTCTTCCAACTCCCCCCCAGGTCTTTAGCCTTGAACTGCTTCTCGGTAGAGCTTTTGCAGAGATTCAGTAAGTAAACTGAAGCACCAAAATGTTGCCATGGTCCTCTTCCTGAGATCCTCCCTTGATTAGCCTTTTAAATTCTTCTAAGGGATCATAAGATGTACAACTAATGGAGGAAGCGCAGATAAGAGCCCAGAGCAGTAGTCTTAAGGGAAATCCTGGGAATTTAATTGCCATTACCTTCCTGTACAAATGGCCTTTGAAGCCTTGCCATAGTCTGTGCAGATCATTACTAAGATTTATACTCTACTTAAATGAAAATTGTTATTTTTCACACACCTCTGCAGAGGGCTGGGTCTCCTTGCTCCAGCTACCTACTACTTCTGTTTGTGGGTAGAAGTCTTTGTAGAAGTTCTGTTCTTTGCCTCCCACTCTCCACTGAAGAGCCCCATCCTTACAGATCTCCAAATAGGTTAGTCTGTGCTTTTTTTTTTTTTTTTTTTTTTTTTTTAAATCAAATTGCATTCCTTCTTCTTCCTTTTTACCTGAAACCCCCATGAGCATACACACACCGTAAAAACAGGAACTATACATTACAGGATATCCTTACTTTTGCTGCCCTGGCCAGAATTTCCCATTTCTTCTTAAGGATAATTTACGATTGATATCTAAAGAGAGCGCAAAGCTTGTCCTTGCCTCCTTCTCAGGGCTTCCCCAAGGAGGAATCAAGTTATTCTACCTACAAGGAGACAGGCTCCACGTTTAACACTGTATTCTGCCAAAACAAAGGTTAGTGAGTACGTGGGTAGGGCACGCATTTTTTTGGGCTTTTAGTCTGTTCCTCTCCCATAAATCAGATTAATAGGTCAGTTGGCCAACACCACTAGAAATTTAAAGAGACAGAAAAAAATTACATGTATATTTCTCAGGGGAGTTATTGTGGCCAGAAGGAATACTTTGGTCAGCTGAGGGAGATGTTAGAGACAAAACTAACCAAAGATATCAGTGTGGAAGACTAGACTACCAAATTACTAACATGCATTGCATATCATAATTTACTGTTTCTCAGTACAGCTTTCATTGTACAAAACCACCACAGGCTCAGATTAACGCTCATCTGGAATGGTGTCCTTCATGGGAGCTTGGTGAATCAAAATGACTTAGGAAGGGGTACACGTTGCCTTCTCCTCATGCAAGGGGGTGATCTGGAGGTCACTCTTCTGACATGCAAGGATTGGAGCAAATGATCTCTGCCAACTTTGCAGGTCTCAGTGGGGCATTTTCTTGTCTCCTATTTTGCTGGTTAGTGGAAAGAATGCATGTTGTAGTAGATCCTTCGGTTGGGTAGGGCTTTGGTGAAAGAGGCATGTTTTTTTTAGCTTGCTTTGCTTCTTGCACTTTGATGTTAATACAGTCAATGAAACTCTCCATGGAGTTCATCTGAGATCACTAGATTCGGCTCTAGACCTTGAGGCCTAAGATCGAGATAACAAAATTATATTCTGCCTTTATCTTTCTCCACTTATTTCTCTGGGGTAACTGGGATGGAGAAGAGGCTGAACATTCCTTGGTTATCCCTAAAAGAATGGCCAAAAGCTCTGATACTATCATTTTAATTTCATAACATCATTAGCATGGCACTTCATTTCCAGCAATCTAGCAAATTTCTTGTTGGTTTAGAGTATTTTGTAGCTTCTTCCAAATATTATCATTAAAATCTTGCCTCTTTATTTTCCAGAAACTAATTTAGTACAGTTCAGTTCAACTGTTTACAAAGTTCTCTAGGGAGCCCCTTCAGAGCAGGAAGGGTAACCCGTGCCCCAGCACGCGTCCACGTTCCGCTATACCACTTCTCGCTCACTGCAGGTTCTTCTCTTCTGCTATAGACTGCGGTTCTGCTCACGCTCAGATTTAGGACACAGCACGCCTCTCCACGAACCTCAGAAAATGTCTTACAAGAAAGCAGAAATTCAGCATCGGCACATGAAAACTTTGCAGGGGGATTGGCAAAGAAAACTATTTGATGTTCCAACAGACTGGACCGGTCTCTCGAACTCTCCCTCATGTAGATTCTCTTGACGGCTTCTCAGGTAAATCAGTGGATAAAGCCGCTGTTCTGTTCAAACAAATGTGTTCTGTTGTCTCTAGAATTTTATTAACTCCCCTAACTGGTATGAGCTAGGAGAAATTATCTTTGGAGGCTAGGACTTTTCACCCAGGACAAACTGTGCTTCAATGCTCTATGGTTCAGAAATGTCTGCACATGATAGGAGTGCCTTCTGCAAACCACAGGCACAGATCTTACCTCAGTATGCATCGACTCCACCTGGGGTTCTGCTAACCACGCCAAGCCTTCTCTAGCCTTATGGAGAACTATTCTGTACTCCCTGATCTCTTTGTATGCATGACATTCAGAACAATCTGGAACCTGAAGCTTTGGAAAGTGAATAAAATGGGAAGTTCCAGAAACCAGGGAACATGGCTGCCAGTGTTACTTTTATTTATTTATTTGTGTGTAGTTCCAGGACAACGGCTGACTGGTATTAAAACCAGACGGGTCAGTTGGAATACCATGACTGACCTAAACGAGAATGGCCTTGTTATGACACCCGTATTCTCTGTACGCACTGGCACATAATGGACTGAGAGACAGCTGAAGAAACCAGGCACAAAAGACAAATCGCCCTTCTCATGCTTTAATCCCATACCCTGTGCTCCATTTATGGAGGATGCTTATCCGGTCCTTGCCATTCCCACAAGCAGAGCAGGTGAGGTTCATAATTATTCAGCCTCGTCTCTGTGGAACCTTTATCAGGCAACAGAGAGCCTACCATTAGGCCATGAGATACTACTATTTAGTTCTTAATCACATAAAAATGAAATCACATAAGAAAAAGCAAACAACGCAAGTACATGAAAGCCATTTACTCCTGGCAAATTCTTCAGGGTCCCAGGTGCTGGGGTTCATAATTTTCCCTGATATCAGAGAACCAAGGCAGGGATAGTAAGGGCTGGGTGTCAGAATAGTCTTGATGGCCTTAGCCAACAGCAACAGCTTTAAAAAAACTTTCCCCCCCCCATAATTTGGTCTCAGATCTTCTTGTTTTCTTCGTGTAAATGAAGTGACCCAGTCAATCATGATTCTAGAATTATTGTAATATCTATGTAAGCTGACAACTGTTCCAAAATCCCTTCACAAACCCACGCAGAGCGGGCAGGATGCGTGGGCTTGTACACGGGTGGGAATGTAAATGATTTCATGATTTAATTACGCTTTACTGAATCCCCCAGCACCCAACTGTTACACCTCACTTGTAGCAGAAGTGCTGGGGGCAAAACCGAGGCTGGTAGAACAGTAGGTAAGGCTGGGCATGAGAATCCTAACAGGAAAACACCCCACAGGGAAAGAGGCTTCTGACTAGGTCCTCCTTTCTAGCAGGGTCTGGCACCTGGCACCGTTTTGGCACTGGGGAAGGGAGCAGCCTGACAAGGTCCACGTGGAACAGCCTCAAGGTTTTCCCCCATCAGACACTTCTCCCCACTCTCCCCAGGATCGAAGGAAAGTGCATGGTGAAGGAGTGAACCAGTGAGATATTTGAACGGTCATCCCTTGAGTGTGTGGCCAAGCCGTCAGGATGCAAATCTCCTGCCTTGAGTTCCGGGCTGTGTGCTTTTAAGAGTTGAGCCCAGTTAGGACACAATCCCAGAGGCTGGTCCCTTGCCAAACCTAAAGGGTTGTCCTGGGCAACTTCACACTTGAGGCTGTTAAGCAGTCTTTAGGATATGCAACAGCCTATTTTGGGTAAAACAGAATAGCCACGACCTCTAAGTCTTCTAAATCTCCCACTTCATACCCATGAGGTAGAGGCAAGAGCCTCCAGTCAAGGAGAAGCCTCCACCCGGGTTGTACTTTGGGCAAAAGCTCTCCTCCAGGTGTAGAAGAAGGTTGACAGGTTCTGCCTGGGGGATTTCATTTAGCTGTGGGAAGAGGTGATGGAGGTCTGGGCAAGTCAGGGAGACTCCCTGGAAGGGGTCTCCCCGAGCTGACGAGAGGGCTTCTCCTAGCCCGTCCCCGGGGAAGGGCTGAATGCACATCTCCTCCCACGGGAACCGAGCTAGGAGGTCTTTTCTGAGTGGGTCCTCTGATGCCTGATTAAGTGATAGCCCCTGCTGAAGCTCTTTCCACAGGTAGAGCACGTGAATGGTTTCTCGCCAGTGTGTGTTCTTTGATGCCGGACGAGGTGGTCCCTCCGACTGAAGCTTTTCCCACATTCGTTGCACCGGCAGGGCCTCACCGAGGCGTGTCCCCTGAGGTGCTTGGCGAACGCGGCGCTGTGGTTGAAGCACCGCCCGCACTCGCTACAGAGGTAGAGCTCCTCTGCCGCGTGCGTCTTCCGGTGCGCCAGGTACCGCCTGTGGTCACTGAAGTCCTCTCCACACTCTCCACACAGGTAGGGTTTGCCCCCAAGGTGGATTCTTTGGTGTGTCGTCAGCACAGATTTCTGGCTGAAGCTCTTGCCACAAATAGTACAGAAGAAGGGTTTTTCCCCCGTGTGTGTCCTCTGATGCCGGACAAGGTCCGAAGTCCAGCGGAAGTGTTTTCCACAATCGTCACATCTAAAGGGTTTCTCAACGGGAGGAGTTCTCTCAGGCTGGACCAGAGGGGAGGTCTCATCCAAATTCTTCCGGTTTAGGGGAAATTTATAAGCAGTGCCCATTTTGTGAACCTTCTGGTGCCTGGCAAGATGTGAGCTCCGCGTGTAACTTTTCCCACACTCCATACACTTATATGGTTTCTCTCCCGTGTGAGTTCTCAGGTGTCTAACAAGGTGGGAGTTGCAAGTGAAACTTTTTCCACATACAGGGCAGTCGTGGTGTCTCCCTAACAGGGGGCAGATAGGCATGGTTTCCCGAAGATTCGATAAACTATTGACTTGAGAAGTATTTGTACCAAAGCTTCTCTCGTTAGGTCTACTTGGATCATCCTCAAAGACTATTTCCCAGTCTGGAGTCTGGTGGATTTCTGGATCTCCCAAAATAGATCTGTGTATATCCTCCAAACTTACATCTTCTTGCTCAAGGTACTCTTCTTCGTCTTCACTCCTGTCTCCTGTAGAGAGGGTGAGAGGCGAAAAGGGGAAATTACAGAGGTTAACGATGCTTTCTACGCAATGGCGGGGTTTTTAAAGTCTTGGGAAGGTGAGACCAGATAGAGAGAAGCCCACATTTCACACCGTAGAGGCTGGGAAAGAAGGAAATGACCAGTCAGCTGAATTCTGTCATGTGCCAGGCACTTTCTGATAGATTATCTCGTGCTGTCAACAAGCCTTAGTATGGACAAAGATTATTATCCTCGTTTCAGAAACGTGAGGACCGAGAATTTAAGTGACCTGCTTAGTAAATGACGAGAGCTGCAGTTCCAAAGTTCGTGTTTTTTTTTTTTTTCCTTTCACCATGTTGCACGACATATCCCTCACACGAATGACGGGAGGGGAAAGAGGAGGGTGAGGACAGAATCTGGCATTCAGAGGCAGACGGGGGGTATGGCCAACAGGTTGGAAGAACCAATGGGGGGGGGGCGCCCCAGAGGGGGAAGGGGACTGCCAGCTCTGCAGGGAGAGGTTCCTTTTGTCGTTCCTCACCTGTGTAGGTAAAACTCAGGATTTCTGGCTCTTGAGGCTCTTGAGGCTCTGGGATATCTGGGACCAAAGGCTCTTCCTCTCTAACGTGGGAGATCTCATCTAGTCTGGGGATTGGAAACGCTGCTCAAGAGAGGGAAAGCGGGACATTACGATCGGTTCAGCAATGCCCTGCGCTAAGAGCAGACCTCTTCTGCTGGGTAGACTATAGAACAAGCGTACAGCCTGATCAGTGGGCCACAGCTGGTCTTTTAGCTTGAGCACCTCTCACCAAATCCTGCACATTTCTTGCCCTTCACCTGCAACTCAATAGTCGTACGACTGCTAATGCTCTCTCCTTCCCCACATTCAAGTAAGCAGATCATCCTTCTACTGCTGGCTTCAAAACTCACACACTGCCTCAAATAGACTAGAGCTGTCATGTTGTCATTTTATTTTCTTGTTACAAGTTTCCAACCACTTTCTAAGCCTCTTCTCCTCCCTTGAATTTGAAAGATACCATCTTCCTTAGCTAATCCTTCAATCTCATCGGTGGGGGAGGCGTAAGAGAAAAGTGATGCATCCGGTCTAGGGTCTAAGACCCACCCCGTCCCCCCGCACCCTCCTCCTTGTTAATTTCCAACAGGGAAAGACTTCTGTGCTCAGAACCCTCGAGAAACACTTGAAATTCCTTACACAAAGAGACCACAATTCCACAGTCTTCCTCCAAGACATATTCTCCATAGAACTCTTTCTGTGTTGGATCCATATCGCTCCACTGGTCCTGGGAGAAGCACACAGCCACGTCCTTGAAAGTTACCAATCCCTGAAATGACACAGGCTTCAGTGAAAACGGGACGCTTCCTGGAGCCTCCTATTTCATTCCTGGGGTGAAGGTTATGCCAGGAGACAGAAGGGACTCTCGTGGGACTCTGGGCTCCCTTTCAGGAAATCCGTGTCACTCTCAGCTGCTGCTCCCCGACTTCCTACTTTTGCATGGGCCCTCCTCTGTGCCCTCCGGTCCCCCTGCTTTCTCTCAGGGCCAGCCTCTGCTCTTCTACTGGAGCATATTGGTTAAAATACAAGAGAAGTCTTCAAAGTCGTCATTAACTCCCTATTTGAGGCTTTCGTGCCACCTACATTTCTGCAAGAATTCACCTTTCCTAGAAAGCTTTCCCTGACCGACCTTCTCCGGGCACCCCTATCGTTCACACGGTCGACCCAGCACGCGCGGGACCCCTTCCTGCAGCTAGGCTACCATCTGCGACCACGGGTGAACGCTACGGCTTTTCTCTCCAGCCTCACAGCGTGGCCACGGTGACAGCTCCGCACAGGCCACGGCCTGACCGAATGCGGTCCCAGGAAGGGGATTCCACACAGGTTCAGAAATCATTTCTGCAGCACAGTGGCCATTCTGACAAACGACTACCAAGTTTACTCCTGAGAAAACAAAAACAAGCCCTCAGTCAGCAACTCACTCAAGGTGTGCTGGAGTATTCCAAAATAATCGCATTCGGTTAGCCCCTCTCTCTGGGCGGCGGCAAGTAAAGAGGCTCTGGAGCCTGACGGGCTGGCCGCGACAATTAGGATTTATCTCGTCACATGCAGCTCCTCCCGCCGCAGACACGTCTAGAACCGAGAGCTTAACCTGACAAGGAGGAGGGCGGGAACTGGCGTCCTGCCTGACCTGAGGGTGTTGAGGTGTGAGCTAATGCCTGCTGCTTCTTCAAATTCTGTGTGGCACAGAGGGAAACAGAGCACACCTGTGAGAGAGCAGTAAGAAAGGCAACCATCTCTGGGTTTCCAGGGCTCCTCTCTTCAGGACGGTCTGGGCCCTGCGGCACCGGAACCTCTGAGAAGAAAAGGCGGCAGCGATCAGCAATAGGCAGCCCCCCCGCCCCCCTCCCAATAACCGGCAGGCAGCTCTCGTCATCTTTGGTGGGAATCCAGAAACCGGCCTAAGGGCAGCTCGGGTCATCCCAATGCCGCCACCTGGAACACTACTGGCAGGCCAAGAGAACCACCAAGAATACTGCCATTTCAGCTCGGCTCTGTTTCTGGGGGACTCTAACTAGTACGGTCTCCCCTCAACGCCCCGGATTCTGTGATTTATTCCCACGATGCTCTACCTAGCCTCCTCAGTAGAGGGGAAATAGCGCCCTTCCCGCACTCTGCCCGCCACAATGCCCCCTTTCTGCTGAGGCTTCCCACCGCTCTGCTGCAGGGGCTGAAACTCCAGTTCGTGGCACACGCTCGGCTCTTCTGGTGGCCCCAGGTCTGGGCTCTGCGTGGTCTCCTCGTGGGACTCCTCAGGAGTTGAGGTCTGCACAGCGTTCTGCAGCTCGTTAGGTGATTCGGGCTCTGCTCCTGGATGCACCGTCTCCTCTGACAGGACTTCCTGCCCATGAACATGGACAGTCACCTGGGAAGGATTCCAATTTCCAGTCAGCATGGAGTCCAGAGGAAAGTCTCAGTTGTCATCAGGACTTATTTTAGGAGAAGCTGCCAACAGAAAAACTCCCAGAGGGTCCCAGAGGAGGAGGGGACGCTCCAGTCCCGCTGGGGCATGCAAGGGCTGTCGAAGGCTACCCTCACCAGGGCAAAGCAGGGACATTTGGACGCTGCACCGCTTGCTCAGTTCCCTCGAGCCTGCCCTTGTCACCCAGGGCTCTGAGGTGCCCGTCCTTCCCATCCCCACCTCTCCCACCTGCAGCTTTCTTGCTGTTTGTTTCCCTCTCTTATTGTCCTGGGAAGAGAGGGGGCCCCTGTGACCGAGCATCTAGGAGAACCTCTGAGGAAGTCACAAAATTGGCCTCCTCAGGAACTGGAGGTTTGACATTCACAGAAAGGAAAACCAAAGCCTTACGATCCTTGGGTGCTGAGGTCTCTAAGGCGGTCCCAAGGCAGGCGTTTCAAAAACCAGAAAGTCACACTCACTCACTCACTCATTCACACACACACACACACACAAACACACACACGCATAAACACACTCTGCCCCATACAGATGCAGGTGCAACCCACAAGCAGAGCCAATTAGTTTTAAAGGGTAAATTATGGGGGCCCTGTATGCCCTGCCCCGAAATCCATCCTTCCAGCAAAAGTCCCCCTCCACATCACACAGATCAGGACTCCCCCTCCTCACCCACCGCCTTGGTCTCCTGGGTTGTTTCTGCAAACCCTCCACCAGCGTCACGGCCTCCTCGCCACTCTCTGGCCGCTGGCCCCGCACCCAGCTCTGTAGTTCTCCGGGCAGGACGGTAAGGAACTGTTCCAGCACAAGCAGCTCTAAGATCTGCTCCTTCGTCCGCCTTTCCGGCCTCAGCCACTGATGACAAAGTTCTCGCAGCCGAATGAGAGCTTCTCGAGGGCTTGCTGCTTCCTGGTAGCGGAAGCGCCGGAAGTTCTGGTGTGAGGTCTCAAGCACAGGGTCATCTCTCTGTAAGACAGACTCCGGCCTACAGGTGAAATCATCTTCCAATTTCACCATCAGGATTCCCTCTTCTTCCCAAAGATCCTGGTCCTCTGGTTCCAAGGCTGTAGCCATTGTTCGGCTCTGGGGGTGGGGAGGGGTCTCACACCATCTAGAGCTCACAGTGTCATTACCCCCCAGTCTCAGCCTGGGCACCTCAAGGAGTTTCTCCCAAGGGACCTGGGGCAGAGAAGGAGAGACAGACAACCATATAAGCATGAGATCACACACAGGGACAACGCTTCTGAGTTCAACCATAACCTGCACCCATCGCACCTCCTCGAACTATTAAATCCCCTGCCCCTCGTCTTCACGGCCATCAGCCCTAAATAGATTTGGTTGAAATAAGACGATCTATGCCTGAAGGTATGTTCTCTTACCCCTTTTCCTAGGCCAGGCTCACACCCCACAGAGAAATAGAAAAAAAGGCATTTCTACTTCATGAAACCCGTGAGCCGGCAAGGACAAAGGACACGGTTAATCACCCGCTGGGACAGGTATACTGCCCACCATCCGTGTTACACACACGTTTACGTACGCACCAGGATGTATAGTCTGAGAAGAGAAACCTCAGCCAGGCTAAAACAGATGGGGAGGCCTTTATGAAGGTTCATGTTGCACGGGCTCACACTTGGAATTAATTCCGCTGAACAGTGGGGGGACTCTCGGCGACTAGAGGGCAGACCGCATGAGGCAACAGTGAGGAAAGCCACTTGCCCAGTGGCTGGCACAGAGGCACTCCCAAAAGCAACCTTCCCCTTATCAAGGAGTCTTCATGGAAGACCTCCAGACCCAGGTGTTCAAAACTGAATTTGTCACGCGTGCTCCCAAATCTACCTCTCTTGCTGGGATCCTGTCTCGGGTGTGATCGTCACTTGTTAAGGTAAACACTCAACTCTGTGACCTTTGGACTCCACTCTGACCCTTCCTCACTGCTTACAGCTCATTAAGCCAGTTCTCCCTCTTAAGCCTCTTAGATCTATTTCCTCCTCCTCTTTCCCACAGACGGCTTTGGTTTGGGCCCTCCGCTCTCACCTGGACTCCTGCCAGAACTCCCCAACTGGGATCCCTGCAGTGCTGGGCCAGGAGTAAAGTGCGGCATAATTATGGTGGAGCTTTTTGCAAAACAAGTATCACACCATCACTCTTCTGGATACTTTGATGTAGTCAACTGAGGCAACCGTCATCTTTAGAAACGGCACACGAAGTTCTGATGTGCCTCACGGCCGAGAAAACATCTAGGGTGTGTAAGGTAAGGAGGGAGGGCCCTGGCGTCAGACTGCCAGGGTTTAAATCCGGGCTCTACCGTTTCCTAGGGGTGAGGCCACCGTTCAGTTCCTACGTTCCTTCTGCCTGTTTCCATTCACGGCTCGGAGGGAAGAATGGCATCCATCCGACAGCGCGACGACGAGGGTTAAACATATCCCAAGCTGTGAAGGGCTTGGATGAGCGGAGGCACCCCAATGTTAACTATTATCTTTCTAAATTGTAGTCCCAACCGCACTGCTCACATTTGAAAACACTTCTGTTGGGTAGATCAGCTCTAAAATCCTTGGCACGGCACGTGAAGCCCTTCACCGCCAGCCCTCAGCTGGTTTTTCAAGCCTCACATCCTACCCTTTTCTGTGTCTCATGGACTGAAAAGGGTGCACTGCTCATCTCCTGAAAGGGGGGTCTCTTCAGGCCACCATGTCTGCAGGAAGGCTGCTCCCCTGGGGCTGCATGGTGCACTCCCCTCTTCTTCATTCCCGTGACTCACACTTTGGGTACTTACCGGTTCTTGTCTGCATTGCTCCAACTGCCTCCGGATTGGTTACCTTCAAGTTAGCACTGACGGGCTCTCAAGAGTGACTGGCACTCTTGCCAAAGTGGTCCCGTCCCCTCCCTATTTAAAATCTTTAGTCATTCTTCCTTGCCTTGTAAGTGACATACAGACTTCTAAATATTACATGTCAGGCTGACTTTCATCTTGTTATTCCTTCTGCCCTCCTCACACAGACACACACTTTGTGCGTGCGTGGGAAGCACCAAAAGCCCTATGCGCTTTGGCTTGAGAACATGTTCCTTCCGATTCTTTACCCTTCATTGGGTTAAACCGCTTAGGAGACAGCTCATGCTTCATGCGTTCTGAGAGGTTTCCTTTGATCCCATTCCCCCTACCCTGAAAACAGGTGGAAACCACTGTGCTCCTACAGCAACCTGGGCACAGCTCTAACACAGTGGCGGTGGTATCATACAGCCAATCTATCCTCCCGATGTCACGCCTTGAAGTTAGGGACTGTTCTCCATCAGTCTCCAACACACGTAATGAAGCGCTCAGTAAGTGAATTTAAAGAAATAAACCTCCACCTCACAAAGGTTTCGTCCTACTTTTTGTCAGGAAGAGTCCACCTTCCCCTCCACTTTCTTATTCATCAGTCTCACTAATCCCACCTTCTAAATGCCTTTCAAATTCATCCATCTCCCCTCCCCTGTCACTCCCCTGGTCGAGCCATTCTGAGCCACTGAAAAAAGTATTAACAGGACCTTCTGAACATGACCCTCTCCTACGCCACACTGGCACTTAACAGGCACTTGTATGCTGCATGAACAACTTGCTTCAAGTTTTACCAGTGTTCCTGGTCCTGCCCCCTCCAGACCACTCTCCACATGCAACCTGGGAGATTCTTCATTTTCTAGTCTTTTTGGGCTTCATTACAAGTCTCAGCGAACAATCCACTGTTAAGAGCTGGGTCTAATGTCGTGCTGCCCATTAAATGGAGTTTCATTTCAATTACCTCATTACTTATTATCTCAAGCTCGAATAGCTTTTCATTCATTTGTGCTTTTACTTCACGCCCATGATCTTCAAACATCCACTACAGATTTTCATAGCCTGTTCTAGGCAGGCCCATAATTTCTACATCTTTACGTGCTAATTTTCCTACCAACTGAATCTGTCTACCTCCTGGTGGTCGGTTCCCTACGGGGCTTGTAGTTTTTAAAATCCTCTGCCCCTCTTCAGTAAGATTATTTTCTTTGGGAGTCCTACGATGGAGTTGATGGTCTTTGGCTTAATGAAGGGATCTCTATTATCTTCAGAGTCCAAGAATCCATGCCCAGGGAGGCAGACTAGGAAGCTCTCCTTGTTTCCACGTGGCACTAGCTACAACAGATTGTCTATGGATTCTCCCAAGTCTGCATGGAAAGAAGCATTCCTGCTCTCACAGGGCGGTACTCTCCACCAAGAAAAAGGAACGGAACAGCGCCACATAAAACCTGTCTTTAAATGCTCTTCAGAAATCACGAATTGATGTTTCCATTGCTTGTTTTGGATTTACTTTGGCAGCTTAGAAATCGATGAGGGCAAACGGATCGGCAACAGCGGGATGAAGGAAGAGAAGTCAAGGGGCAAGGGATGGGAAGGAATGGGAGGCAGGTGGTGCTGTGGAAAGATGCGCGTCCCAGCCCCACATGGTCAAGTGACTAGAGCAGCTCTGAGGGCTTCGTGAGATAACACACAAGAGCCCTCGTAAAGGGGAGAGCCTACTGCAGGAACTGCTTTCCTAACTCCCAGGATTAGCTGAGCTCTGGGAGCTTATGAACTAAAATGTGCTGTGCAAATGTCAAGTGTCCTTATCACAAACAGAAAATGGACACTTTTTATTCTGCAGTTCATAGGATATGCTACACTGCCCAGTTGGCCTTGCAATTTATTGCCCTTGCTTTTCTAATACCTTCCCTCAAAGTCTGTCCTTGGAAGGGCTCCGCGACAACCTATAAAAAGCGAACAGGACTATATAGACAGAAGCCAGACCAGGAAGAGCAAAACTTGGTTCCTGAAGGTTCTGAAACAATGTCTGCAGAAGAGCTTCACAAGCCTAGGGCTGGGCAGGCTCCATGACATAGTCTCTTGAGTACATGTTTCTAGGGTATAGGGAGTGGGACTGGGGAGATGTGGAAAAGGAAAGAGCTCTCTCCAATCTTTGGTACAACACCTATGCCCCTTATCTGAATGAGTCATATGCCACTGAAGGCTTTAACTCCATTCTGACAACAGAAAACGGTAGGCAATGAAGGGACATCTGGTTCCCTACCTTACAATGTTACTGCTTCAGGAGATCCTTCTGGACCCTAAATGACAAGGCTTGTGGTCATACAGTATCTGCTTAATAGAGAAATACTGATTTATCGGCAAATAGTCTTCAGAAGTAGTGATCAGAGAGGTTCAAATGATCGTATTTAGCAGACCCCTATTTCCCCTCCTGTTGCCATTCTTATTTTTTACCCTAATGCTGGCCTATAACCTGGAAATCTGGTTATGTCTGCTCTCTGGGCCGAGCCAGACCATGCCACTGCTCCTATTGTTCTAGAAATCAGGGGCGCCTGGGTGGCGCAGTCGGTTAAGCGTCCGACTTCAGCCAGGTCACGATCTCACCGTCTGTGAGTTCGAGCCCCGCGTCGGGCTCTGGGCTGATGGCTCAGAGCCTGGAGCCTGTTTCCGATTCTGTGTCTCCCTCTCTCTCTGCTCCTCCCCTGTTCATGCTCTGTCTCTCTCTGTCTCAAAAATAAATAAACGTTAAAAAAAAATTAAAAAAAAATAAAACTAAAGATTATCTAGTATGATCCTTCTACTGAAAAGATGATCTTTTATTGCCAATTGTCCTATATACAATTATCCGTGCTTTCCATATAAGGGTTCGAGACTTTGGAACCCTGGGTTTGGATCCCTCTCCTCACTTACTGGCCATGTGATACTCCCTAAGTCTTGGTCTCAATTTCAAAATGTGGCTAATACTATCTACTTCACATGGTTGTTTTAAGGAGTAAATGAAGTTACATATAGAATCACTTCAGCACAGAGCCCAGGACAGAGTAAATGCTCAATATATTTTGTTCTCTTCCCTTCAAATTGCTTTAAATCATTTTGTGAAGAAGGCAAGATTTAAACGATGAACAAGCAAACAGTCCTTTATTTCATAATTCCAAAAAAATTTTTAAATGCACAGGAAAAATCTTGGTCTGTTTACCATTATATCAAAAGTAAGGTGTTATAGGGGCGCTTGCGGTTTTGCTAGTCGGCTAAGTCGCCCCGGACCAGCTTTCTGGGTCATGATCTCATGGTTCGTGGGTTCGAGCCCCGCGTCGGGCTCTGTGCTGACAGCTGGGCCCGGAGCCTGCTTCAGATTGTGTTGTCTCCCTCTCTCTCTGCCCCTTCCCCACTTGCGCTGTCTCTCTCTCCAAAATAAATGAACAACAAAAAATAAATAAATAAATAAATAAAAAGTAAAGTATTATAAGGAGTCCTTTCTTTGAAAGACTTATAAGCTAAGATTAAATA